AATGCCAGTGGATGGGCCCTCTGAAGCAGCAGTCTTCAGAGAGGCAGGCAGAGGGGGCTGGGCAGCCAGGCAGAGTCCAAGGGCCAGCGCTGTTCTGTGTGGTGAACTCTAGGACCTGGGCCCATCATGCAGCCTTTCTAAGCCTCAGTTTTCTCATATGTAAAATGGTTTTCTCAAATGTAAAAGTCTCCGGCCTGCCTCCAGATCAGAGGGCCAGGTGTTGTGAAAGAACGCACCCTATGGGGCCAGTGCAGGGCTGTTCCCGCAGGGCTTGCAGTTCCAACCAGGTGTCCCTCAAGTACCTCATTTCACTTCTCCAAGTAGAATGCTCCATGGGAACTTCTCCCACCCCCTGCTGGTGAGGGGGCAGGAAAGGAGGAAGAGAAGCTGGAGGCCTGGGCAGAGCCGTGCCTTGGACACCCGAATGTTCTAGGGCATGGTAAGTGGAAGGAGGCCGATGCCGGTGTCCTGCCCCTGTGCAGGACTGGTGGCTGGAATCCAGAGCCAGGGTGGGGGTGGCCAGGGGTGGCAAGAGACACAAGCTGGGTTAATGAAGTATGGATTGACTGGGCTGCAAGCTGATTAGCTCTGGCATTGGGCTTTTCCTGAGCAGTGGCAGCAGAATCAATACTAATCCCTTGATCCCATTAGGAGCTTCTGCCGAGTTTGGGACAAAGCTTGGGCCTGCCTTCAAGGGACAACTGTCTGAGGCTGGAGGGTAAAGCTGGGTGGTGGTGGTGGGGGGGACTAGCTCCAGTTCCCAAAGAATGGGGGACTGCCTTTTCTCCTAAATACATACATTGGAAGCTCTCGTAACCCACTTTTCCTCCATTGACCCAGCATACCCAGATGCTCTCCACTGCGCTCCTAATGCACACTCACTGGTGTTCATGCAGACAGGATGCTGGGGTACCCCAGGCACTGGCCGGCTCATGACCAATCACACCAGCTCAGTCCCTTGGCCTGTTTACATCTTGTTTGTTATTGTCATGATAGAACATTGCATAGACCCTGACACAAGGGCTGGAATGAAAGAATTGTGTGGTTTCCATAAAAACTATGTTGAACGTTCACAAAAAAATAACCCTCCATAAGGTGAGTCTGGACAAAATGTAAAGATGGATAGAAAAATTGTAACGTTCTAAGGGCCTTACCCTGGACACTCGAGTTGTACACATGGTGACATGACCGTCAGGCCTCGGTCACTTCCCTGAAATCAACACTGGCAGTGACAAGCAGGTGCTGTGGCACGGGGTGGGTCAGAACGCCTCAGCGCACTGTCCCTGAGCCCACGGAAGGGCCTCAGCCCTCGTCGGTAAAGCAGAATGCAGCAAACTAGACTGTTGCATGGGTTGGACCTGGGGAAAGTGACTACTTGTTACATACTAGTGGGGAGACAGCATCTCATCCTGTTGAACTCTTGGCTCTACCAGTTACTCATCCTAAGTTGAAATGTGCATGGCATGTATACAGCATCTTGCCTCGAAGGGACTGCTTGGACTCATCAAGTAGCTCCTGTTCCCACTGTTACTGGGTAACACAGCCTTTACTGCCCCCCACCCCACAAGAGTGGTGTGGACGGTTTCTGACCTTGCTTGTAACCGTCACGCACACATCCACGCACACACAGTTTCTACAGCATTAGTACTCATTACACATTACCCTGAAGATGTGAGAAGCCTCACGTGGACTCTGTGTGGAAAGTGGAAGGTGCCAGAAGGCAACCCCTGCCGTTCTCCCCACTGCTGCACTACCCACAGAGCCCAGCACCAAGCCTGCCCACCACAAAACAGAGTTAAAATGTGTTGCATGAAATTAAATAAGCCTCCCCTTCAGGGCCTCGGGGTGCTGATGAGGCTTTCCTCTCAACACCTGCAGGCTCAGCAGGAAACTTTTCCACACATTTGGAATTGCCAAGCTTGACGCCAACCTGGCACCCAGCCTGCTCGCCAGGCCTAACTGCACCAGGCTGCCCAGAAAGACTGGCGTGGCCCCAGCCTTGAACACACCGTAGCCCTCCTTTCTGGATCCCAGATAACCAATGGCCCTCACGTATAACTCTTGGCACCCTAAAACCTGTGGACAAGTTCCTATAAGTAGTCTGCCCAGACATAGCCCTTCTCCATGGCTTAGTGGCCCTGAAGTAGAGCCCGGGTTCCATGGCCAGCTGTTCTGTGGGCCCCTTGCCTTGACTTTGGTCTTGCTGTCTCTCCCACTTTTCTCGTGTAGGTATTTCTTCATCATCCTGGAGTCCCAAAGTCTTAATCACGAATTGCTAAAATGGCAGAACTGAAACCATTAGAATTCTCCCAACGCATCCTCCATATGTTACAATTGAAAGCGGGGCCACAGAGGGCAACAGAGGACCCCATTCCCCCAGTGGAGAGAGGACCAGAGCACCACCCTGCTGCCCAGCACCCTGCTCCTGGGCACTCACATACTCTCACACACCCTCTCCGCCTCGGCCTCACACAGTCCACCCCATGGAATGGCCAGTGAAGGGGAAGGCTCTGAATTACACAGGCAGGTGGAAAGGCCACCTCATGTCTGCACTTGGTGAGGGACATCTGACACAAGTGACGAGTGTCAGGATCAGAGTTGTCACCACAGTGAACCCTGGGTCCCCATAGTCATTCATGTTGGCAGTTTCCTGTCAGCCCTCTTGCTGCTGCCACCCAATTCTTCCTCAAACATCCCCTTCTCCTAACCTCACCTCCTTCCCTCTCCGAGTTTCTGGCTTGGCCAAGCCGCTCCTACATCTTCCGTGTTGAATTTCCTGCCCGTGCCAGGCAAGGGCCGAAAGAGCAAGTCAGGCCTGTGGTGGATACTCCTGTCAGGGCTGGCCCACAACCACAGGTACCCCTGTGTTTCCTGCAAGGCCCAGGAGGGAGCAGCAGGCTGTCATCAGGTGGTCCCCTTGGCAGGCTCATCTCAGAGTTGGGCCTCAGATCTGGGAGTGGGGACGGGACAGCATCCCTTCTCTGCCCCAGGCCCACTCTCCCTTTCAGATCCCCTGCCCTGGGCCCTCTGCCTCAAGTCCTTCCCCACCTCACTGTCCTCCCCTCATGCTACCCCTCCTGCCACATACCCCCAGGGCACTCTGCCCCAGGCCTGGTCCCCACTTCTCACACACCCACCCCCTACTGACCAGCTGGCTTTCCCCAAGGCTGGGGGCTCTCTCTGTTCTGCTTAATAACTGCCTGGTAATTAGCTCCGCAATTCTAGTATGCTTATAATAGCCTCCATTAAAGTTATGGGGTTTTCAAGCCGTAATGGCTTCCAGAGTAATTAATGCACAACTGGGTTTATTGCTAAGTTTATTTTTAGAGGTTTTCACCCTCATTCCCCCTCCCTCCTCTTTCATCGAGGTTTTGACCAAAAAGATGGGATGGGACAGAACAGTTCCCCTGGCCTCCTTGCACCCTTACCTCCTGCTGCATCTGTGCCCCTCTTCCTTCTGCTGCTCCAGCCCCCCAGGAGGAGCTGGGACCCTGCACTGGAGGCAGGTTTTGTGGAAGAGAGTGGCCCTGACATGGCCCTCAGCGAGAGTCTTATGTGTGACCCTGTGTTGACCCAGACTCAGCAACTCCAGTACCTGGAACCTCTCTTCCCAAGCTCTTGAGGGCAGCCAGGAGCCAAAGGACTTGTACTCAGACCCAGCTCACCCATGTCCTGAGGATGACAAGTCGCTGAAATGGGTGACAAGTACCCACCATGGACAGCTGTTATTGTTAACAACAGCCCATAAACAGGGAGGGCAGGCAGGGAGATGCATGCGGGCAAAGGTGCATGAGCCTCCCCTTATCTTCTTCCTGGAATAAGAAGCTTTCCTCAGATGAGGAGCATTTGAAAAGCCTCTTTCGTTGTTGCGGAGAACCTAAAGGCTGTATCACCGCAGACCCCATCTCTGTCCTCTGTCAAACGAGGCCTGAGAAGGCCCAGCCAGATGAGGTCCTGGCTCAGCCTCTGTTGGCCTGTCAGGCCTGGGGCTGAGTAGAGGCTGCAGGTGGGGCATGAAGTCACACAGTTCATCATCTCAGTAGCTGACACCCAGTCAGACATCCTGCATGGGACCCTAGACTCTGGGGCCATGGAGAGGCATCACACACCTCTCAGAAATATTCCCCTTGCCCTGTGCTTCCCCTGTGGATCTCATTCAATAACATTCACGTGCAGCAGGCCAACTGCTACCCTGAGGAATGAGTGGGCCTTAGGTGAGGTGGGGCTGGGATGGGGCATGGACAGGGAACATGCTGGCCAGCTCAGGCAACCCTAGTGCTTTTTTTTATTTTTTATGCTTACAGAACTGAGGTGTAGGCCAGAGGTGCAGGGGTAGTGAGAGGATTCACCAAAGAGAGTGGGGAGCAAAACAGGCAGATTGACAAAGTACACTGCTGAGAAGAGCAGCAGGCAGGTCAGAAGAGGTCTGCCGCACCATGTGGGTCAGCTCCCTGGCCAGGAATCGAACTCATGCTGCAATGGCTTTGAGGTGCTTCATAATGGGGTGCTTTAACCTCTTGCACCACCAGGGGGAGCCCCCCCTAGTGTTTTTGACTGGGAGACTACACCTAGTTCTTCCATGGATGACAAAGCTGTTTGGAGGGAGGAAAAGACAAGGAGAGGAAAACACAGTTTCCAAAACTGACGTGGCCAGCGTCCATCTCAGCATTGGCTCTTGACACTGGGGAAAATGGAGAGCACATGCAACCTGGGGCTGAGTGGGTGCTGGCCTTTGAGGCCTATATGGCACACGACTGGGTATTGGGATATCAGCATACCAGGGTCACTGAGGGCTGTCCTCCCTTCTCCCTCCCTCCCCCAAAAACCCCCACCCCACTACCCCATCGTGTCAGGCCCAGTACTCAGCCCAGATGTTGAAAAGAAAGGATGAGGCAAAGACAGTCTCCACTGTGGTCACTGGAACTCTTGAGGGAACAGCACCTCAGGAGGACCCTCTGCATAACTGAGAGGAAATTCAAATCACCGTCATCCCTTTACAGAAGGGTGCTTCTTCTGGAGTCCCTGTGACTGTATCGTGAGTGCTGTCTCACCAGAATGTGGCAGCTCTTCTTGGACAACCTCTCCTTGCTGACACCAAGCCCAGGAGCCCAGGCTGATCCCACGTACAGCAGACACTCTAAGAGAAGTCTCCACAGACGTCAATAAAGGCAGGGTCTTTATAGTATTTCCACTCACGACCTATCTCCAAAACATAATTGATGGTCCCGAAAGGATTCACCCCATTATAGACTCTTGTATCCAGGATATGAGGATACTGAGCCAAATGTGGCTATGACGTAGCTAGCTGCCTGGGGAACCCACTCTCTATGCATGAGGTACCATCCTAAGCACTTTGTGGGTGCCCACTTGTTCCATCTCATACCCACCTTGTGAGGCAGGCACCCTGAGTCACGGGAGAAACTGTAACTTGACAAAGGTTTATGACTTGTCAGGGGGGCATGGCAGCTGTGTCTGAAGTCTGTACCCTTGAGCCCTGGACCTGCACCCCACATGCCTTACACTGGGAAGTGGGGACTGCCACGCGCCATGCCTGTGGGGGACAGCATTCTTCACCCAGGCAGACAGGACAGTTTTGGGGAGACAACAGAGTGTGGTGAAGAGCCAACCCTGGTGACCCCAGCCCTTCTGGGTGTCCGTCCCCCACCCAGGTCTCTGGCCATCCTCTTCTGCTCTCTCTTGCAGGTTTCTGCCTCACAGGGCTCCTGACCTCGCCTCAGGACAGCCTCCCCTTCTCAGACTCTGGCCAGTGGACTCGCAAACCTGCTTCCGCAATGGGTGGGTTCTGAATGCTGGTAAGACCTGCTGGCCAACATGCGGCTCCTCTGCCCTCCCCACGCCTGGCCCGCCCAGCCCATTCCTGTTCTTTTCTCCCCTGTGCTCGCCTCTGTCTGCTGCTGCCCCGGGCCGCCCCTCTCCCGACCTTGCCGCTGCTCAGGTAACGAGGAGCTGTGGGTCCAGCCAGCCTTGGAGATGCCGAAGAGACGGGACATCCTTGCAATTGTCCTCATCGTGCTGCCTTGGACGCTGCTCGTCACCGTGTGGCATCAGAGCACCATCGCCCCCCTGCTGGCCGCACACAAGGGTGAGCCCCCACCCCCACCCCCACCCCAAGCCCTGGCCCTGGCCCTAGCCCTGGCCATCCTCTGGCACAACAGTGACCAGTGCTGCAGGGTTCTTGTTTTCATTCACTGTATTGTCAGAAGGGACCAGAAGGTGACTTGGAGCAACAACCATACCCTTTGGGTGTCTTGGCCCCTTTGGGGACACAATGTATGCCCACACGTGCACACGGAGACATCTGTGGACAGCTCCTCGTTCACCTCCAGGACCTGCGAGGACAGGGGCACTTGCAGGGCTGGCAGAGATGAGGACAGCATTCCAGACCTGTATTGAAAACCTTCCAGGGAGAATGTATCGTCAGCCCCTCTTTTCTGGTTAGCCTCTGACCTAGTCCTACCTAATGAAAACTCACTGAGACAAAGGAAGAGTCTCGTGAAGAACTGAGATTAGAACCAGTTTCTTGTGACCGAGTCCAGAGATTTTTCTTGCACCGTCTTGCATATCCCTCTTACACCGGGGCCCCCTGCACCCCAAACTGTCCCATGTCTCTTCTCCTTCCTTCCTCTCTCTCCTCCTGGAACTCAGTACTCCAGGGCAACTGTTCCCCAACTGAAATATGTGCCCATTACTTGCGGAGTAAGAGAGGCCATGGGTCCAGGGTAGAGGCCTAGGAGTCTGCCCATGGCCCATAAGCCCAAGTGGTTGGAATGCAGGTGGTATCTCAAAATCAGAGTCTGAAACTGGGCCGCTGCACAGAATTAAACCAGGTCCCGCTCAGCTCCAGTGATGCCAGAAGCTTCTGCCAGAAAGGGCCAAGCTAAAGATCCTTAAATCCCCACTGTCCAAAGCTGGGCACTTAACGCTTTTCCTTCTGACATTTATCCTCTCTTCCCAACTCCATCCCCCCTCTTTGGCACTTATCATTTCAGAATTGTTGTTATGCTGCAACCACACCGTCCCTGAGGGATTAAAACCACTGTATGTGAAGTGCCGTGATATCGTGTCGATTCCATTCTTGGCAGAGGTCGTAGGCCAGAGCTGTCGAGCGGTTTTGCTAAGCACTGATGTTGCCTGAGGATGGGGAATTGGCAATTCTCTCCCCCCAGAGCATGCCAAGAGGGATTGAATGAAAGCGGTAGTGAAGTAAAGTTAGGGTCACCGAGAGGCCTCTATGACTCGAAGGCTGCAGAAATCCCAAAGCCAGCAGGCTGAGTCACAGGCATGGAGAACCCTACCAGGGCAATGTCTGCACATGATTGGAGCAAATGCTTCTAAATCTCCTGCTCAGACCTCAGTTTCCAACACTCAGTAGCCTGCAGGATACATTAACCCTTGATCTGTCCTGGTGGCAATCCAGAAACCTATCATCCTTCACTCCATGTTGTCCCCTTTTCCCAGTTTGACCCAAAACTCCTCCGAAAAGTGCCTACTCAGCTGCCTCTGTGCTGATCTTGCCACCCCTTGCTCCCACACCCCTCGGGTATCGTGTCCACAGCCCAGGTACTGGGTCCTTGTAGCCATTGCTCGGCCTTGGTGTGCTGTCAGCCTGTGTGAGCCAGGTCTTGTGGGTTCATGTTTAGAGTCCAGCATCAGACCTCTGCCAAGCACCCACACACTCCGTCTCAGTGGCAGAAGAGATGACAGAACGGTTGACTTGCCAACCACCCTCCTTCCCTCTCCCTCCCCTCCCCCGACCCCAGCTGCAACCCTCCTATCACTGACAGCTCATTCCAGGCCTTCCATCAGCGGTGAAGCCATGAGGAAGCCGGGCTGACTACCGGCTGCCTATCCATGAGGAAATAACAACTGCCTGGCATTGTTCTGAGCCCTGCTCGTGTATTGACTCATTAATCCCCGTAGTAATTCAGTAAAGTAGATGCTATTATTAGCTCCATTTTACAGTGCTAAAATGGAAGCAATAGAAACTAAGTAACATCCGGTCAGTAAGTGGCAGGGCTGGGCTGGGTCGAAGTCCAAGCATTTGGATTCTTAGGTATGTCCTTGGCCACATCCACCTCTACGGAGACTGCATGGAACCGTAAGGCCATGCAGTCCTCCATACAGACAGCCATAACTTGGACGGAGACTCATTAAAAGCAGAAGTGCCAATGACCTTGGTTTTTCCCGCTAATGGGGCTGCTAGCTTCACATTGAGGAAAATGCCCAGGATGTAAGCTAAGACTTGGGCTGCCCCATTTGGAGCAGGCTGCCTTCTAGAAGGAATGGATGGGCTCCCTCTGCCTGTGAGTGTTTGACCCAGCAGCCAGACCTATGCCAAGTTTTACTCAGTGTCCCTCCTGGTGTCGGGAAAGACAGGTAAACACCCACAGGATGCGGGGACGGCTAGGTACCCGCACAGCTCGTCTCCGGGTGGCTGAATGAGTGTGTCCAGAAAGTACTGTTTAGGAATCTGACATCAAGCTAGCAGATGAGCTAAAACGGGTCTCTGTGTTGTCCTTTTGTGTGTGCCAAAGTGCAGCAGCGTCTAAAATGAGAAACGACAGGTTTAAGGATTCAAAATAATCTGGATAACTGGGGAAGACCCACTGCAAGTAGATGGAAGTGGGCATTCCCTTCTGCTACAAGATCCAAGGCTTCTCCCAAGAAGGGAGGAGCGACCCCACCACTCGGGAGGGGTCATGAGATGTCAGGGCAAGCGGACCTCAGACTCTTCTGGGTCCACCGTGTGCAGTGGACATCAGTGCTGCCCTCGGACAAATACAACCTCCACTCCACTGAGGGCGGCAGGGCCCTCTACTTTGCCAGCCAGGCCGGGGTGGGGTGGAGTGGTGGGGGGGGAGGGGGCTCTGAGGTGGTTGGTGAAGGCCTGAACATGTAGTATAAAACCCAGCATCCAGAAACTGAGGGTATAGTCTTGGAATTTGGTCAGCGGCACTAAAAAGCTAGAGGGCATTCGAATAGGAGGAGGACGAGACACTTTTTTCCTGATCATTCTGAGAGTCAGAGCCAGGAAAATCCCCAGGATTTTCCCTCACCATCAAAGAGCCAACTTAAGAATCAGATGACCTGCCCACGGCAGGGACAGAGAAGAGGCTGTCGTGGCTGGCAGGGTGGCCTCTGCCATGTGCCAAGTGGCCTGCTCCCCACACGACCTGTCTCCCACCCCTGCAGATGATGGCAGTGACCCCCGGCGGGACGTGCCCCCAGGGGCCGACCCCAGAGAGTACTGCATGTCTGACCGCGACATTGTGGAAGTGGTGCGTACAGAGTACGTGTACACGCGGCCGCCGCCGTGGTCCGACACCCTGCCCACCATCCACGTGGTGACACCCACCTACAGCCGCCCGGTGCAGAAGGCGGAGTTGACGCGCATGGCCAACACGCTGCTGCACGTGCCCAACCTGCACTGGCTGGTGGTGGAGGACGCGCCGCGCCGGACACCGCTGACCGCACGCCTGCTGCGCGAAACCGGCCTCAACTACACGCACCTGCACGTGGAGACACCCCGCAACTACAAGCTGCGTGGCGACGCCCGTGACCCGCGCATCCCTCGGGGCACCATGCAGCGCAATCTGGCCTTGCGCTGGCTGCGTGAAACCTTCCCGCGCAACTTCAGCCAGCCCGGCGTCGTGTACTTCGCTGACGACGACAACACCTACAGCCTGGAGCTCTTCGAGGAGGTGTGGGCTAGGGCAGAGGGTAGTGGAGGGTCTGGAGGAATGGCGCCCCTCCTGCCCAACTCCCCCAGAACCCCCTCCGCTGCACTCCTGAGAGGGCCTTTGGGATCTGAACGCACAGGGGAGCCAGGGAATGGGGTGGTCGGTGTAGTCTGCAGGGAAACAAGAAAGGCAAACACCCTGCTACAGGTCTCAGCAGCTCTGCTACCTGCCCATCCCCCTGTAAGGGGAAGAAAGCTGGGGCCTCCTGCATTGTCAGAATGAGGGGGCTTGGTTAGGGGGGGCTTGGGGACAGGGGTCATTTCCACAAGCTGCCGGAAATTTGAAGGGTAGGAGGGTGGGGAATAGCTCGAGTGTTCTTGGGGTCTGTGGCCATTGTATGTGAGAAGAGGGTTGGAGCCAATTCAAATGACTAGGGAACCGAGGGAGAAAGCTGGCAGCAGGTCATGTAGAGAGGGAAGATCTCACCCCTGTGAGAGCTGGGGCCTTGCCATAGTCAGGGCAGATTCCTCGCAGGTGCCCAGGGGAGTTGGGGGGGTGCATCTGGAAGCAGGCCAAGCTGCCGCCCCCTGGCTTCAGATGGCCTGTCTGCCTGGAGTTAAGGAGTGACAGGTGTCATTCCCCATCAGCAGCTCCAGGCAACCTGATCTTGGATTCCCACTTACAGATGCGCAGTACCAGGAGGGTGTCCGTGTGGCCTGTGGCATTTGTCGGAGGCCTTCGGTATGAGGCCCCACGGGTCAACGGGGCGGGAAAGGTGGTCGGCTGGAAGACAGTGTTCGACCCCCACCGACCATTTGCAATAGACATGGCTGGATTTGCAGTCAACCTGCGGCTTATACTACAACGAAGTCAGGCTTACTTCAAACTGCGGGGCGTGAAGGGAGGCTACCAGGAAAGCAGCCTCCTCCGAGAACTTGTCACTCTCAACGACCTGGAGCCCAAGGCAGCCAACTGCACCAAGGTAAGACCCTCAGAACTGACCGCTAGAATGCAAGTATTTCTAAGCCTCTCCAAGGCTCAGAGGAGGGTAGAAATAAAGACCTCAAAACAGTCTTGCCAAGAAGAACCAGCCTAGAGACCTGCTTTCTAAAACACCCTTCCAGGAAGGCAGTTTATCAGCTGTCAGGCAGCCCTGCTGAAGTCAGGCAGGGCAGTGGGGCAGGGCGGGAAGCAGTGAAGTGTAACCAGAAACTGCTTCCCTCCTTCAACATAGCTGTGCTGTACAACCTCTCTGCCCAGCCCGCACACAAGTGTGAGCACACACATACAAAACGCACATGCACCCTCATGTCTAAACACACCAACACGTATGTGCACACTCCGCTTCCAGTCTGCACTTCTCCAGTCAAGATACTAGCAGAACTTTCTAGAGAGACCCCATCAGGAAATCCAAGGGAGGAGGAGAAGCAAGAGAAAGTCTTGAGATCTCTTTGTCTATTTCTGTAACTGTAGATTACTGTTTCCAGTAGGTACTTTTAATACATCACCCAGGGATGAGGGGCATGTGGAAATAAAGAACAGTGGAGACAATCTTATGGCCCAGGGCAGAGTGGGAGGGGACAGGATAAATACTCACACAGAATGGGAGGGAGCAGGGAGGCGGCAGGGGTCAAGGCCGGCCCCATGTCTTGTGTCTCTGGGCACAGATCCTGGTCTGGCACACTCGGACAGAGAAACCGGTGCTGGTGAACGAGGGGAAAAAAGGCTTCACTGACCCCACCGTGGAGATCTGAGCCCCGGATGCAGGTATGGAAGGGGTGGGGGTGGGCACGCGCTAAGCAGGGTGATGACTCGTTTGGACGCAGAATAAATGTGGGGAGGCAGGTCTCTAGTTGTGTGAGGTCAGGGCAAGTTTGCAAGGTGGGAGAGGTGTTGCTGAAGCCCGGTCTATTGTACCCTCTGCCAGTCAATGGGAGCTAATGTCCCCCCACCTCCCAGACACCCCCTCATGATAACTCCTTCCCATTACAGGCATTTCCAGTCTGGCCTTGTCACCTGTCCCAGTGCACAGCAGTGCTGTCTTCCCCTGGGGTTCCTCTGCAGTCTGCTGCTGGGTCAGAAAGCCTCAGTCCCTTGCTCTCGCCCCACCAAGCCTGTCTACCTGTATCTACGAGATGGGGCAGTATAGGGGTGAAAGCCTGGGCCCCCCTCCTAGCTCACCTCCCAGGCCTGCTACTTTTTATCATTTCTATCTCTGCTCCTCAGTTTGTGCCTCTGTAAAATGGGTTGTTGGGGCACCAGTAACAGCCGGTGTCACATACGTCCTATATAAATGTTACTTTATTGGTTTGAGCCTTTAAAAACCCTCAGTTGAAATGGGCCACAGGGTCTATTCTCTATATTTTAGAGAAAAAGCAGTCATATTCAGGAAAACTAAATATTGTGCCAGATGCCTGGCAAAGCCAGGAACTTTCTGTGGGTTTTTCTATGCTCCTGGCACAGAGGTGGAAGCTCAGACTGCAGACCACACTGTGTCCCTGGCCCCAGAGTTAAGCTGCAGCTGTGGTCTCACAATTGCGGCGATACTGGGTGATCCGAGGTGTCGTCTCCCTGTTTTGTACTATAACCTCAGTCAGTGCCTCTGAGAGCAGAGCCCTGTTCCCTGCCTCCTGTGGGTCACTGGAAGTAGCGGTCTTACCACCCTTCTGTGAGGAATCCATGGGGACCTGGGGACTGGGTGCTCCAGGAGCTCCTAGGTGACCCCTGCTGGGCACTCAGGATTGAGTGGGTGGGCCCACATTTGCAAACGCTCCCCTGCCTCCCCTGATGCCACCCATTCCCCCTCTCCCTTCACAGGAGCCTCCTTCTCAGCCCTGTTCCTGGCCTTCCGTCCTCTCCCCATGGCTAATGGTCCCTCCAAGGCAAACTCCTAAGGAATCGCTGTCACCCTCCTTTCAATTCTGGGGGCTTCCGAGAGAACCCAGCCTGATGCCAGGACAAAGGACTGAGAGCCTAAAGCACAGAAACCCCAGACCTGTCATTCTCTTCCACCCAGTGTGGCCAGAGCCCAGCTGCCAGCCACGCCATGCCCACCAGCACTTCCTGCACCGACCAGGCCCGCGGGAGCAGATGCTGTGGGCAGCCAGGCCCGGAGTGATGCCAGGCTGGGAGGGAGGTGAAAAGACCCCAACCGTCAAGTGGAGTGTGGCCCTCCGCCTCCCCATTCCTGGGGCAAGCACCACCACACAGGACACCCAGCAGGTAATCCTGAAGACCAGAGAGCACCCCACCCTCAGGCATCAGGAACACCCCACCCCCTTCCTCGGAGAGCTACTCCCAAGTAGACATACCTCTCTGGCTTTCCTCTGGTTTGATTCCAGAGCATAAGGCGACCACTCTGAATGAGGGAGCCTGGACCTGCCGACAGGCCCCCCCTGTACCTCAGGGTCCGGTGGGAGCAACCCCTCCTCTGACCCCATGTCCCGAGAGCCTGTTCTTCCAGCGCAGGAAGGAGGTGGCCTCCAGCCAGCACAGGTCACCGACAGGCCTGGACTAAGACCTCGTGGGCCCTGCCCACACACTGCCTCCCCACCACCTCCCAGGCCCCTGGGCCCCTGCCTGGACAGGGCCTAGGAAGGTCAGGCACCCCCTTCCTAGAGCTCCTGCGCAACAGCCGTCAGAGGCTCCAGGAACCCAGGTGGGTGAGGAGGACAGACGTCAGTCAGAGCAATTCCACGAGGGGCACTTTCCTGACCTGGTCTGGGGTTTGAGGGAGGGGCTTTGGATTAACAGGGGGATTTATGGAAAAGGCAAAGGTCATTTGGATACTGAGGGGGAAGAAGGAGGCGGGAGCACACACTACTTTGGAAGTCATTCTATTTTAAACACGAAACAGCAGAGAAAGTCCCACTGCTTCGCAAAGTGGGGACAGCCGCCCCTCCCACGTGTGTGCCGCGGCCCTCCGGAAGGAAGATGCTCCCCTGGCCTCCCAGCCACCGGACAGGCCCTGGGCTTTCTGACGGATGGCTGCTGGTGGCTAGCCCACTTACGCTCCTGAAAGCTGGAAGCACAATTCCCTCCCAAGTGGAGGGAAAGGAGAGGCCTGAGCCTACCGAAGAAGTGTTTATTTTTTAGCCGCTAACAGCCCCACTCCATTTTAAACTGACAGGACCAGTCTGAGGACCCTAGAGAACCTGCTAGGTGGGTGGCATCCGGTCCAGCAACCTAACCTTGGAAGAGTAGCACTGGCTGCCTGTTTGGAAACGGATTTAACTTCCCACAGTATTCATGAGCCCTTTCCCCCCCCACCCCGGTTTCGATCCTGAGAACCTGAGCCACGTGCAGGGCATTTCCTGACCTTACATTTTCCCCTGCTGCTTTGGAATCCACCCCTTGGGATCCGGTGGAATGGGGGGGGAAGAGCAGGAGGATGAGCGCAGGGCCCACCCGGCACACAGTCGACTCCTGCCCTGGCACCGCACTGCCTCGCCCGCCAAACCCAGCCCTGAACGCCCACCCAGCTCAGCTCAGCTCAGCTGGGCTGAGGCCAATTTCTTAGCCAAAAACCCAGGGCTTGTTTTCAGGACACTGACAACTGATAAGCAGCAAAATGGGATATTGTCTCCTTTTTTTTCCTTTTTTCTTTTGGCAGATGCTAGTTGAGTTGTTTTCACCTAATATCCTCTCTTAGCCGCATGTGTATTTATTTATAATTATAACCCTGGTGGACGGCAGCTTTCAACTTTGTTGGGAATGAATTTGATGTAAGCCAGATTTGGACTGTGGCTGTGGGACCATGGTGACCATTTCTTTGCCAAGCCTGGTCTGCTCCCTGCTCCCACCATAAAGGATGAGGCTGGGGGCCCAGGGTCCTGAGGACAGAGTGAGTGAGGTGGAGCCCAGGCAGCTGCACCATCTGGTCTGTTTTGATTTAACTGTATTTAATTTGTTTTCAAAATTAAAAGTCAAATATGGTTTTTAACAGTCCTAATCCTCATCAGCTCTGCCTTATTTATTGTCACTCACCGCTTTAACCATCCAACAACTATTCACCAGTGCTGCTATGAGTGCTGTATTCTAGGAACACGGAGCAGAGAAAACCCAAGCTGATGTCTTCACGGAGCCGACCTTCTGGCAAGAGGAAGTAGAACGATAAAGATCTAAGAGGAGAATGGGGCAGAGTGGGAGACGGGGTGCTGAGCTGAGGGGCCAACACCCCTCCAGCACGTTCTGCAAGGTCCCCGTGAGCAGGCGGCATCTGAGCGTGCGTGCGGGTGTGGTTATCTGGGGCAGGCTGGGCAGTCCAGAGCAGAGAGCTCTCTGAGGTGGGGGCAGAAGGACCGCCTTCTGCAGGTGGAGATGGACTGGACACCAGAGCAAGGGATGCACGGACCACCTTGGCCCCAGAAACCAGGGTAAAGCTTTTGGCTTCTGTGAGCTGGTAAGGAGCCTGGGGCTTGATGAAAACACTGAGTGGGTAATGGGGACCTGACCTTGGCCTGTGGCTAATGGCAGCACAGATGGGATCAGAGAAGTAACAGCAAGAGAGTTTGATTCAAAGCTACTGCTTTATTGCGATTTAGGACAGTGAATCTGAGCGAAACTGCTACTTCAGAAAAAGCATTTCAGATTTGCACAGATTGCTGCAAAGGAAGGCTGCCTTTTCCCCCCAGTGTCTGGTCACAGGGGTTGAGAGAGGAAGGACAAGCTGGAAGCAAGCCCAGAGGGCCCCCTGGACACACCACCCTCCCCAGAGCTACCTGCCCCCACACCTGCCCGCTCCCTCCCTGGTCCTCAGGGTGCTGTGGTTCCCTCTAGGAGCTACATTCCCTCCTCTCTGGATGCTTCCTCTCACTGAGTGTAACTGGAAATGCTCTCTAATTCAGGAAAATAAGTGGCAGTATTTCTGTTTCTCTTAAGCTTTGGCTTGTCATCCTGTCAAATGCAATTAGAGTGGGGATGAAAAAAGAGAAAGCGTGTGTCTCTCAAACAGAGCTGCTTCTAAAAACCCTAAGGGCTCAGGGAGGGTGAGAGACCCCCCTGCCTCTGCCCTTCCCTGTTGCTCTACAAATGGTGACAGGCCCACTATTTCAGAAACAAGGAAGGCCGTGAGAGATGTGGTCAATTCAGGTGAAAATACTCTGAGGAGCAGCAAACCTGCATTGGGCTCAACCAGTCAGTTCTTTCCAGAGGGCCCTGGGCTTCAGTCCTTGGAGCTCCAAGTGGCATCACCACCCCACAGTAGGCCCTCTGTCCTCTCCCAGAAAAGCAGGGAAGTAGAAAAGTCTCCGTCAACAAGTGCCAGCCAAGAAGCCACATGGGCCCCTCCCTTGCCACCTCACCTCTTGAGACTTGAGCTAAAGCAGTGGGCAGAGCTTAGCCTTTGGCTCTCTGAGGTAGCTACTTAAGGAAACTCCTGAGGGGAGGGTGGGCAGAAGAAGCACCAGGCCTCTGGTCCAGGGAAGAAGGCCGCACTCCTGCATCCTGCCACCTGGGGGCGCTGCTGGTGGTGCTCAGTCAATGTACTGGTTCCTGCCAAGGTGGGGTGTCTCGGTGAACTGTATCATAGGGCCTGCCATATTCTCCTCGAAAATAACAACCTGGGGGAGAGAGGCAGGCGGCGCATGAATGCAGCCCAGGTTTATCCAGGAGCCAGATGAGAGGGCCTTCGTAGAAGGGGTGGGGAGCCAGGCTGGCAGACAGGCATCCAGGACTCAACAGCACTGAGGAGGACTCCCCCAAGGAGGTGACCCAAACAGGATCCAAACATGGCTTTCACAGACATGACTAAGGGCATCCCAGGAGAAAATGTGAGAAGGGGGTCCCAAAGGAAAGAGAAAGAGGGGGCTGCACGTACTCTACCTGATTGATGCCTTGGTCCAACCAGGCACCTGGGAGGTAGAGGGTCTCCTGAGGGCCGATGTTCCAGTAGCGGCCAAGGTTTTGGCCGTTGACGAATACAACTCCCTTCTCCCAACCCTGTAAGCAGAATAGGAAAGGTGTTCATCAGCCTCAGAAGATGGGAGAATACAGGCAGATAGGTGGACAGACACAGGCCACTGCACCCAACTCTCCGCCTCCAAGAGACCCACGTGAGCTGACGTTTTGACAGCCATGAGGCCAGCAGGTGGGTGCTGCAGCTCCCGTTTCCACCTGCCACCCAGCTCAGGCATCCAGCTCAGACGGAACGCCGGAGCCAGGAGCCTGGAAGAACCACCAGATGTCTCTGGGCTGTGAGCCTCTACCCTGGGGCCCTTTCGAGCGGACGGGGCACAGGTCAGTGTGCCTGGGCACAGGGGTTCCCACAGCAGGGCCTCCCGAGACGAGATGGAGAGCCCAGGCAGGGGAGGGTCACCAACCTCCAACTTCATGAAGGTGTCAGAGGGGGAAAGAGCAACTGGCAAGGCACCCAGGAAGAAAGCAGGAAAGGTAGGAACTTCGGGGACAGGGCTCCATGTCCCAGCAGTGAACCTATGGACAGAACAAAAGACAAAAAGGGGAGGAGGGAGCTAGCTCAGACCCCGCTCTGTCCCGCGTCTTACTGGAAAGATCTCCATGCCCCCCAGCTGTTAACAAGGCACAACAGTGGCCACAGGATGCTGTCTCCAGCACTTGGGGTGCCCCTGCCTCACCATCCCAGCTCTGGCTTGGAGTGGGAGGTGGCTCTTGTGAGTGAGGGCCCTGGCCAGGACAGTTCTCACACCATACCGGCCCTCACTGCCTATGGCCACGGAGTCACAAAGCAGGTGGGGGCAGGGACCCACCTCTTAAAAAAGCTCTTTTTCATATCCAAGCTGTAGATTTTGAACTTTTTCAGGGGAGACTCATTCAGATAGATATTTCCAATTATACCTGCGGGAGGAGGCAAACAAATATGACTGCGATCACGACAAGGGGCCAGTTGGCCTGGCCTGGGCCAGTTACCCATTATGAAGTTTCTAGAAATTTCAAGGGAGGATTTCTCCAGAGGTACATACTCTCTCCACTTCACTTGGCATAAAACCTTCCCTAGAAAGCTCAAAGGGAATAAGGATAAATAATACTGGTATTTGCCAAGCTCTGGCATTAGCAGGAAGGAATATCATGGAGGGCAATGGCAGAGCTGAGGATGTCAGGTGAGAGCAGTCTTGGCTTCTTACTAAGGGTGGAGCTCCCTTTTAGGGGGTGGAGAATGTTTATCCAGCACAATGAAAGAGGCCAAAGGGCAGAGGGCAACGAAGTTTCACCGTTTCTGGCCCTTTTCAAGGTCAGTTTCAGTGGGGTCCCATACTACACAGACCTGACAGTCAGTCAGGAATCAGCTACCTGGCCTAGGAATTTAAGAAGTATTTAGGGCCTCGCTGTTGGCCTAGGGGCTAAGTCTCAGTAGTATCATCGCTGCAGCCCGAGTTCGATTCCTGGCCACATGGAGCTGACCCACATGGCACAGCAGACCTCTTCTGTCTCACCCGCTGCTCCCCTCAGCAGTGTATCTCAATAGATCCACCTGGTATGCTCCCCACTCTGTTTCTGGTGAATACGCTCACCCCCTGCACCTCTAGCCTACAACCCAGTTCATCTCTGCAAAAATAAATAGTGCCATTGCCCCCCATGATATTCCTTCCTGCAGGTGGCTGTGTTACTCGGGTAACTAAGTCTGAGAATACATGCACACTTCAGTGGCGATTGATCCATGTTTGGGGCACAGGGTTGGCTATGCCAGGCCTCTGGATCAGAGCTGATGTGCTGTAGGGTGAGAGCTGGATGGGCTGGGGAACTTGAACAGGCTCTGTGGCATCTGAGGACACTTAACTTGCAGGTACAGGGGTGGGAATGGGGGATAACAGGCATGTGGGGAGGAGGTCTATGACTTACAATGCCCAGAGGGTGGAGAGTCTAGAGCACTTTGATCAGGGACCAGGCAGAGGGGCTGGGAAAAGCCTCTGGGCGACCATCCCTTTCAGCCCCTACTGAAGATGAGACTGGAGGAGAAACTCCTGCGTGTTGAGAAGCTGAGGCCCAGAGAGGAAACACAGACCACTCAGGGAAAGAGACTCACTTGAAAACTACTCTAAGGCCCTTCTGGAGAAATCAGATTGCCAGGATCCAGGAGGCCCCAGGTGGAAAGGCCGCTGCTGCCCCAGCAGAGGAGGGAGGGATGCACCACTTTCCGCAATACAAAGCCCAATGCCCGCAAAACTTGCCGGCCCTCCAGTCTTCCTTACCATGGTGAGAGCTTGTCTGAGTTCCTATTTTATAACTCACCTAGAATCTCACATTTTGATAGACAGTTAAAGAGTAGAGACCAATTTAAGCAAGAAGGTTCAGAAGACCTGGGCAACTAAAGTGACCAGCTGTCTATTTCCAGAGGGCTGCCACCAGGAGCATCATTTTCACAGTACACCCAGCTGCCTCCTCCCCCTGACGGTGAGCTCATTCATGGTTCCAAAGGAGAGCAAGAACAGAACTTCTATGGGTAACCCAAGAAGGCAGGGTCCTAGAGTCTTCTGGATTTCTGGGAAACCCCTTCCTTGCCCTTCACACACCCCACCCTGAACAATCAGCCCCGCAAAGCAGACTGTAGCCCAGATCTGGAAAGGTGGCTCCCTGTCCTGTGCATGTTACCATTGGCACATAGATCACACACACACAGTGTTGACTGGGGAGGTGGTCAGAACCCAGCCAGGCCTTTCAGGTCATCTGCCTCCCTCCAGTGGGCTCCATGACCCCTGCCCCTCCAACAGACTTCATCATTCTCTCCATCAACTGGGCTCCATGACCCTCTCCCTCCAATGGGCTCCGAGACCCAATAGCCTTCAAAGGTTCTCTGTGATTGTACCCTGCTGCCATCAGCTTCTAAGGCCTACTGGCATTCTGTGTGGAGAAGAGACAGCCAGACATGTGCCAAACATTAGCAACAAGTGCTGTGACCCACCTTTACGCTGGTCATCGATATTGTCCCCATAGTTGACTCGCCCACGATTCTCCACCAAGATCCTCAGCATGGTATAACCCTGCCAGGAACATAGTGGTCGATGATGGTGCCGCTTACCCAAAATACTGTCACAACTGCACCTGGAGGTTTCTTTATGGAACCCCAGTCCTTCTCTAAGCTCTGAGGATGGCACTGAGAGTCCCCGCTGACCAGAGAGCAAGGCTCTGCTCCTCTGTCCATGTGCAGCTTTGTGGTGAAGGAAACTCCTGTCTTCCAGGTCTTCCTCTTTGACTCCTAACCTGTTCAGGTCAGGAGGCTGCTGGCGCTACTCATCACCCAACTCCCCAGGATAACAAACCTGGATCAAGGGAATAACGATCTTCCTCTTTTCATAGTCCAAGAATCCTATAGACACTGTGTTCACAAATACCTGCCCAATGAACAAACAGAAAGCATCCATGGGTGCACAGGAAGGCTAAGCAGAGAAAGAGGTAACACTGTGTGTGTGTGTCTGTACCTGTATGTGTGCAAATGTGTGTGTGTGTGTGTGTGTGTGTGAGAGAGAGAGAGAGAGAGAGACACCAACAGGGGGTTTAACCAGACACAGAGAAGTGAATGTCATTGATTACAGCTCAAAAAGTCGGCACAGCTGACTGGGATGGGCGGTTTCCACACTGCTGACAGCTGTACACATGAGTGCTGGTGGGGACTCAGAGATGTGTTGTAGGGACTCGCTACAGAGTCCCCAAAATTAAGAGGAGGACGTCCTACCTGTCCCCGGTCACACACAAGACCACTGAGCACACCAGACGAGGCAATGGTGGTCTCGTACAGGGTGTACCCAAAGGACTGTCCATTCCCATCATTCACGGGCAGGTTCTCCATGTTGACTGGCTTGTCGGAATTGACTGGCTGGAAAGAGAAGAGACAAGAGGTGCAGCGGCTAGGCAGAGGAACAAAACAGCAGTGACCTCTTCTTGAGCTGTCTGGGGGCTGCAGGGGAGCAGACAGAGCCTGGCCTAGAGGTTAGCAACATGAATGGGGCAGAGACAGGTCGGGGGTTTCTATGTTGACTTCTCACTGCACAGAGATGTGAGCCAGTCCAGCTCCAGGATCCTACAGGCCTCTCTGCGCACCGACTGGGCCCTGGGGCCTCGGGCAGGGAGAGGCAAATGTGGCCAAGTTTACTAAGAAGTAAGGCCAACACTAGTGTAGACAGGTCGGAGCCAGCTACAGGAGGTGTCTCCTCTTCTGCGGGGAGAGGTCACCCACTGTCCTACCTCCTCACCCTCCTCTCTGCCCGGTGTCCTTTAAGTGTTGATTGTCCCTTCCCAGTGCGTACTCTACAATGAATTCTCTTGACTGAGTCCTCAAGTCGGAGGATGCTGTGAGAGCTAGTTTGCTCTTCCTCCACAACGGCTCGACGGCCCATCTGGAGCAACCCTCCCAGCCCACTCCCCACAGCAGCACTCACCGCCTCCATGTACTGCAGGGCATCCCACAGCGACAGGTAGAAGGCAGGTCTCAGTGGCTCATATGCAGTCTTGGGGAGAAGATCAGGTGGGGGTGGGAGGGGGGTGCCTGCTACACAGACAAAAGAGTCACCCCAAGGAGACCCCGATGGTCACGGCCCCCTCCAGCCACCCTGGGAGCCCCTGGCTCTTGCCCAGGGACCCCATGTGCTCCTCTGTCCTGGATCCGCTAGGAACACAGGCCCGTTTTCAGAATGTACCCAGGATCCCCAAGGAAAGCAATGCCTGGGGGACAGGCATCTTTTGTACCCCAAGGAGTGTCAATACCTATGGGAAGTCTAAGCTGGCTAGACACAAGCTACAATGAACACAACCTCACTGACTTGCCTACCTGTCTAGGACATTCTTCATGCAGATCAACTGGGTGTGGAAGTAACTTTTTAGGGGTCTCAGGACCCAGGTTAGTGCTTGAAAGTCTGCTGTTAGCCCAGTACCTGAGATGGAGCCAAAGAATTCTCGAAGCTTGACATACTTGGCTGTGTAATCCCCAGCCTCTGTCAGTATGGCATCATAGTCTGCAAGACACCAGGGGGCCGTCACCAGTCACTGTCACTCGTGAAAGCATAAGCAAAGCTGGACTAGGGCAGCAGGGTCCTTATCCCAGAAACTTGGAGGGCAAAACACTTCTGGTACGAGCTACCAGTCAAAATAATATAGATGCCAGTTACTATAGGTACCAAAGATACCAGTTACTCTAGGTATCAGATACTATAGATGCTAATGAATAGAGATATTAGATACTACAGATTAAATACTAAAGATGCCAGATACTATAGATGCCAGTTGCTCTAGGTATCAGATACTATAGATGCTAGTGACTATAGGTACTATAGGTACCAGATATGACAGATAATATACTATAGATGCCAGGTACTATATTATAGTACCTGATATTATAGATACCAAGTCTACAGAAACCAAATACAATAGATACCAGATACTATAAGTAGTAGATACTATATATAGTAGTTACTATAGATACTAGATACTATCAATACCAGTTACTATAGATACCAGATAGTATAGTACCAGATACTATAGATAATACTACAGATACTAGATACAAGACACTATAGATACCAGTTACTATAGATACCAGATACTATAGATAATAGATATTATAGGTACTAGTT